GGGCCCGCGCGAGGCGGCGGGCGGGCGACTTCCGGCGCGGGCCGGATGTGGCGCCATGGAGGCCTGGAGGGGCGCGAGCAAAACAGGGGCGGCGGAGGGGACGCCGCCGCCGCCGCTCCCGCCTCCTCTCCCCGCGCGGCTCCCCTTCGTCAGCGCCGCCTCCGGCCATGGGGCGGCCGCCGCCTCCGCCGACCCAAGCGGGGCTTCCTCCTCCCTTCGTGCCTGAGGGCGCCGGGACGAGGCCTCGGAGGGGAGCCACTCGTGAGGCGACGGTGAGAGAGAGAGGGGGCGGGAGTGCGCATGCGCGGGCGTGTGGGGGGGGGCAAGGCTGAGAAGGGACCCCCGAATGGGCACATCCAGACGCCCCCCCCCTCGAACTCAGCAGTGGCATCCCTGGACGGCGTTGCCAACTCCAGTTCGGGGGGATTCCTGGAGGTTTGGGGGTGGAGCCCGGGGAGGGCGGGAGGCGACCAAGGCTCCCTCCGAGCTGTGGAGTCTCGTGAGCAGAAATTCTACATTGTGAGCTCCCCCTGGCATTAAAGCTTTTGGCTGCTGCAGAAGTTAGTTTGCTCTGGAGGGACCCAATGTTCCCTCTTAAGCTGCGGAGTCCTGTGAGCAAAAATTCTACTTTGTGAGCTACTGGCATTAAAGTGGTGAGCGAGCAATTCGGCTGCTGCATAAAGTAGTTTGCTCTGGAGCCATCCCTTCCTGAGCTGAGGCAAAAACGTGTGAGCGGGAGGCTAAAGAACTGTGAGCTGGCTCACACTCACTCAGCTTAGAGGGAACACTGGCTGCTGCAACCACTCTGGTCTGAGGGTCACACCAGGGAGGGCCCAGAGTAGCCCCCCTCTTCACCTTCCCAAGCACCCACACACGCTCACACCCAATGCTCCCTCTAAGCTGTGGAGCTTTGTGAGCAAAAATTCTACTTGGTGAGCGCCTGGCATTAAAGTTTTTGGCTGCTGCATAAGTTAGTTTGCTCTGGAGCCCTCCTCCCTGCGCTTAGGCAAAAACGTGTGAGCGGGAGGCTAAAGAACTGAGCTGGCTCACACTCACTCAGCTTAGGGGGGACACTGGCAAGGCTCCCTCTAAACTGTGGTGTCTTGTGAGCAAAAATTCTACTTGGTGAGCTACTGGCATTAAAGCTGTGAGGGAGCGATTTGGCTCCTGCATACATCAGTTTGCTCTGGAGCCCTCCTCCCTGAGCGAAGACAAAAATGTGTGAGCTGGAGGCTAAAAAGCTGTGAGCTAGCTCACACTCAGCTTAGAGGGAACACTGGCAATGTTAACATGGCAGTATTAACGGACAGAATGCTCCCTCTAAGCTGTGGAGTCTTGTGAGCTAAAATTCTACTTTGTGAGCCACTGACATTAAAGTTGTGAGCGACCGATTTGGTTGCTGTATCAATTAGTTTGCTCTGGAGCCCTCCTTCCTGAGCTAACGCAAAAATGTATGAGCCATAGGCTAAAAAGCTGTGAGCTGGCTCACAATCACTCAGCTTAGAGGGAACACTGGATGTGACCTCACGGGGTGTATATAAATTATTTGGTTATTTGTTTCTGTTACTTATAGTGTGCTTTTTTTTCACCTGGACTCCAGGCGGATTACACAGAGTGAGTCAGTGCGGTCCACCGAATGAGGCGTTCAGTAAGCAGTGCAACAGGATTAGGGTTGTAGAACCAACCAGAAGCAAAGCATGAGTATTAACATGATACATTAAATGATGCAAATGGCTCAAGGCGAAGTACTTAGTGTAGTTACATAGTTATATAAAGGTAAAGGTCTCCCTTGCCCGAAAGCCGGTCGAATCCGACTCTAGGGTAGGAGAAGGGAAAGGAGTTTGTAAGCCTCTCTGAAACTTTGAGCAAAGGGAGGGGTATAAATCCTATCTCTTCTTCTTCTTAAAAATATAACAGATGTTTCAGACGCTCGTGTCACGGGCTTGAGTTGGAACAAGCGAGGGAGGCTGCCCGTCACCTCCTTAAGTCTGCTGTCCCCTTCTGTCCGGAGACGAAAGGGAAGGAGAGACGAATTGACGCTGTGGCTGTGTGCCCGTTGTCCTCTTGAACTACTTGGATGGAACACTTGGCCCAGCTGGGTGGCAGTTTGCCCTGTCAGTTTGCCAAATTGCTGGGCAGATGTCCTGGGGGGGGGGAATCGTAGGGGGGGAAATAATACTGTAGGCATCCCTTTAGCAGATGATGCAAGAAGGGAATTCCTCTTGAACTGGGATCAAAAGCGAGCTATATGAATTGGAAAACCACAAAATGCAGGAGGCAGGGATGAGATGCAAAACAGTTGCAGCCCCTTGTTCTAAAGGAAGCTCTCTTGTTGCAGTATATTTGTTCCAGATTAAACTGCTTGCAGGAGCTGCGGCAGCTCAAGGGGTTAAGACGCTGAACTGCAGGCTGTGGAAGGTCGGTAGTTCAGCAGTTCGAGACCCGAGTGTGCTGCATGACGGAGTGAGCTCCCGTCTCTAGTTCCAGCTCCTGCCAACCTAGCAGTTCGAAAGCAACAAATTGCAAGTAGATGAATAGGTACCACTTCGGTGGGAAGGGAACGGCGTTCCGTGCACCTTGGTGTTTATTCATGCCGGCCACATGACCACGGAAACGTCTTCGGCTTTGAAACGGAGATGAGCACTGCAACCCTAGAGTCGGACTCGACTGGCTTTCGAGCAAGGGAACCTTTACCTAAACTGCTTGCATGAGTATGATCTCAGTTTTAATAGACAGTTCTTTTGAAAATGGCAGCCGCTACAAGGACAAAGGCAGAGAGTTCTTCAGTTCTCCATCTGTGAAATGAGAGTAACAGTCACATAATTCACAGGCTGATCATGAAGAGAAAATGCTATTCTAAGGTGCTATGACCGTAAAGATTTTTCTTAAAGGCATTCTTCCACGCATCGAGCTCCATGCCTCTCTGTAGCAGTGGTGAAGTTAAGACTAGGTATGGCCAATCTTTGGCTTTCACTGCAGAGATAGCACAGAACGGTTAATGTTAAAAGTTAATGTTAAAAGTATTTGTGAAGTCAACAGAAAAGGAGGATTGAGAACAGGATGTTCAGGGTTCAGCACTTCAAAGGTCTGTGTGATTGTCACTGTTGCAGAAAACTGGTTTTGGGGGGGAGGGGCATTGGAAGCATTCCTCACCACATGTCTAGAAACTCACAGGACGAGAAAATGCTAAGTGCTAATTACGAAGTGCTAATTACTACATTCTGGGAATTTAGTGTAGTGGTTAAGAGCGGCGGACTCTAATCTGGGAGAACCGGGTTTGATTCCCCACTCCTCCACATGAAGCCAGCTGGGTGACCTTAGGTCAGTCACAAGTTCTCTCAGAGCTGTGCTCTCAAAAGCAGTCCTCGAAAGAGCTCTCTCAGCCCCACCTACCTCACAGGGTGCCTGTTGTGGGGAGGGGGAAGGGAAAGGAGACTGTAAGCCGCTCTGAGACACCCTTGAGTAGGGTGGGGTGTATATCCAATCTCTAATTCTTCTTCTTAATTGGGGATTCAATTGCAAGGGGTCACCCCTCCCCCCCAGCTGTCTTAAGGTTTCCTTCCCTTTTTGTCCTTCAGATAGAGACCCCTTGCTGTTGAAGCTTTCGGGAGGGACCGCCGGATACGACTGCGCCCGTGAGATGCCCGCAGGCAGGCGTTCTACTCCGTACGGCCCTCCTCCACTAGGCCTGCCATGACAGCGTTCTTCACCAGCGTCCCCACCTGGATTCAAGATGCCAAGCAGGAGGAGGAGGAGGCGGGCTGGAAACTAGTGCCCAGGCCGAGGGGCCGCGAGAGCGAGAGCCAAGGGAAGTGTCAGTATGAGCTGTCAGGACTCCCGTTCCCCGGCGTGGAGAAGCTGAGAGCAAACTCAGAGCAGAGGCCCTATTGCTGCCCCCAGCTGCACTGCGGCAAGGCCTTTGCTTCCAAGTACAAGCTCTACAGGTAAGCTGGGGCTCTGGGTGCCTACTGCCGCCAGCCGGGGCGGATCGCCCGGGGCTCGTTGGTCGCTAGCGCTGCATGTGTTGTGCATTCCGACTCATGGCGACCCTGCGAATTAACGGACCTCCAAAGCATCCCATCTCAGGCCTTGCCAGCTCCTCCCTAACCCTTCTCGCCTGCATCTGCTGCTCCCAAGGCCTCCCAGTACTCCATTCCTGGGTGCCGTATTTTTCTTGGCAAGTCAGACAAGTAGTCCCAGGAGGCACTGGGAGCCGTGTGTGCAGGGGTGAACATGGTGGGAACAGAACAGTGGCACTGGCACTTTGCAGTTCTATGAATTATTTATCTGCTCAAGGCCTTCTGAGGCTCAGGGGAAGAGACTCTGCTTTACATGCAGACTCTGCAAGTCAGGGGAAGAGACTCTGCTTTACATGCAGACTCTGCAAGTCAGACAGGTAGTCCCAGGAGGCACCTCCAGTTAAAGACCAGGCAGTAGATGATGTGAAAGACCTTCACCTGAGACCCTGGAGAGGCACTTCTGGTCTGTGTGATTGTCACTGTTGCAGAAAACGGGGTTTTTTGGGGGGGAGGGGCGGTGGAAGCATTCCTCACCACATGTCTAGAAACTCTTGTTTAAAGGAAAACAAGAGACGAGAAAATGCTAAGGGCTAATTACGTAGTGCTAATTACTAAATTCTGGGAATTTAGTGTAGTGGTTAAGAGCGGCGGACTCTAATCTGGGAGAACCGGGTTTGATTCCCCACTCCTCCACATGAAGCCAGCTGGATGACCTTGGGTCAGTCACAAGTTCACTCAGAGCTGTACTCTCAAAAGCAGTACTAGAAAAAGCTCTCAGCCCCACCTACCTCACAGGGTGTCTGTCAGGGGGAGGGGGAAGGGAAAGGAGTTTGTAAGCCGCTCTGAGACTCCGAGTGAAGGGCGGGGTATAAATCCAATCTCTTCTTCTCCTGAGTAGACAGTACTGACTTCAATGGGGTTTGATTCACCAGAAGGCAGCTTCACGTGCATTTTGGAGAGAGGCTGTGGCTCACGGGTAGAGCATCTGATTTGGCCTGCAGAATGTCCCAGGTTCAATCCCCAGCACCGCCCGATAAAAGGACCGGGCAGGAGGTGATGTGAAAGACCTTCCTCTGCCCGAGACCCTGTAAAGCCGCTGCCGGTCCCGAGTAGACAATACTAACCTTGGTGGACCCAACGAACTGATTCAGTGTATGGCAGCTTCAAGGCAGCTTCATGTGATCAAGCGAGGGAATCTTGTTTTCCATCATTAAAATAGCCTTTTTAGGCATGTCTCTTTCCCTCAGGAGTCTTAACAGCGCAATCCCGAAACAGGTTATTCCAGGCCTAAACCCATTGATTTCAGTGGGCTTAGACTGGTGTTAACACTGTTTATTTTATTAATTTTTCGCATTTATATCCCGCCCATCCCGTAAACGGGCTCAGGGGCGGGTTACAACATTGCATTCTAAGAAATAACAGCTTGGCAAAAGCAACCCAGCAGCTGAGTCATGCGTTCAACACAACTTTCCTAGATTCAGGGGTCATATCCTGCAGGAGTGCACAGGAGCGGAGCTCCGGCAGCCCCACCCCCTGCTCCCAGCAGCCCTCAGTCAGAGCAAGAAGCAGCCAGGTAAACTGCAGAGCCCCCTCTGGTCCAAAACAGTCCAGTGGCACCTTTAAGACCAAGTTTTATTCAGGTACAAGCTCTCCCTCCTCTGTGAGGACAGATCTGCACGTCTCCCCCCCCCCCAATAGCTAGCAATCCAAAACAGTCCAGTGGCACCTGAGCGGTGGGTGTTGCCTTCTGACACACTTCCGGTGATGTCGGGGTGTGGCATATGCCAATAAGTTCTGCTAAGGAATTATGCTAATGAGCTCCTGCACCTCTTTTTCTACAAAATGACCCCTCCCTAGATCCATGATCTTGCAGGAGGGATTAGGAGACTGATGAACAGTAGGGAAAAGGGATATTGCTACAGAGCACGGGCCTCCACTGAACTTTCACCCCATGTCCGTATCTATAGGCCTTTAATGTAGATTACATAGGTAGTGCAGGGGTAAACCGCGCTTTTGTCACAGTAAACTACTGGATTGTTTTTTTGGTTTTGGTTTTTGAACACCACAGGGAAAAGGTTGGGGTTGACTTGAATGGAGGGTTGCCTCCTGACAGCCCAGACTAATAAGGAGCAAGGTACCTGTCCTCTCCCTCGCTTCTTCCCCTGGGATGAGGGGAGCTTCCTGTGTGCTGCTTCTCCCAGCAATCAGAAAAAGAGGCCCATCCACGCTCTCTGGCTTATGATGGGGGCATTGCAGCCTTTCTGGGGAGTTCCCGTGAATGAACCTAAATACAGTGAAAACACCAGGGCCACTGCAGATTCACCTTGTGGCTCATAGCCACTGATGGACCTCTGCTCCATATGCTTATCCAATCCCCTCTTGAAGCCGTCTATGCTTGTAGCCACCACCACCACCTCCTGTGGCAGTGAATTCCATGGGTTAATCACGCTTTGGGTGAAGAAGGTACTTCCTTCTATCCGTTCCGCTCAGCAATTTCATTGAGTGCCACACAAGTTCGTCTCTTAGATTTCTTCTTAGCTTTCCTTTCCTCCTTTTGCAAGGGGGAGGTTGACTGTAAAGGATTTAGGAGCTTGGAGTTTTAATGTATACATCTATTTGCGTGTATCGTAGGGCCGCCCCGAGCCTGCCAAGACTGGGAGGGTGGGATAGGAAAAATGATATAAAAAAAAAAAGTAGCGGTGGGGGGGGGGGGGTGCGCGCGCGGCATCTGAGGGCACGCCAGACTCTCGCAACCTCTCCCATTCCTTCCTCGCCAGGCACCTGGCCACCCACTCTGCCCAGAAGCCCCACCAGTGCATGTACTGTGAGAAGATGTTCCACCGCAAGGACCACCTCCGCAACCACCTCCAGACGCACGACCCGAACAAAGAGGCTCTCCACTGCCCGGAGTGCGGCAAGAACTACAACACCAAGCTGGGCTACCGGCGCCACCTGGCCATGCACGCGGCGGCCAGCGGCGACCTCAGCTGCAAAGTGTGCCTGCAGATGTTTGAGAGCACCCAGGTCCTGCTGGAGCACCTGAAGGCCCACTCCCGGAGGCCGTCGGGCAGCGTGAAGGAGAAGAAGCACCCCTGCGACCACTGCGACCGGCGCTTCTACACCCGCAAGGACGTGCGCAGGCACCTGGTGGTCCACACGGGCCGGAAGGACTTCCTGTGCCAGTACTGCGCCCAGCGCTTCGGCCGGAAGGACCACCTCACCAGGCACATGAAGAAGAGCCACTCCCAAGAACTGCTGAAGGTCAAGGCGGAGCCGGTAGACATGCTGGGCCTGCTCAGCTGCAGCTCGGCCGTCTCGGTGAAGGAGGAGCTGAGCCCCGTCTTGTGCATGGCGTCCCGGGACGTGATGAACAGCAAGGGTTTCCCGGGGATGCTGCCCATGGGCATGTACGGGGCGCACGTCCCCGCCATGCCCAGCTCAGGGATGTCCCATGCTTTGGTCCCCAACTCTTTGCCAATGGGGATGAGCTACCCCCTGGAATCGTCGTCTTCCCCGCCACAGCCGCCTCCCAAATACCAGCTCGGATCTACCTCATACTTGCCCGACAAGCTCCCCAAAGCAGAGGTGGAGAGCTGTTTGGCAGAGCTCCCCGGAGGCCTGCCTCTTGGCTCCGGCGAGCCGCCGCCGCTGCCGCCTTCTCCTCCGCAGCCGGCCCTCCTGGAGGACGCTTTGCTCTCCAAGAGCCCCGCCCTGCTTTCCGAGGCCCTCTGTGCTGCTAACATGGACTTCTCCCACCTCCTGGGTTTCCTCCCCTTGAACCTTCCGTCGTGCACCCCGCCGGTCTCCTCGGGGGGGCTGGTCATGGGCTACTCGCAGGGAGACACCCAGTCGCTCCTCGCCACTCTGCCCCCGCAGGAATCGCCGGGAGCCACGGGCCCCCTCGGCTTTGGGGCCCTCCACTCGTTGCCCTCGATGTTCTCCCCCGGCTTGGGCGCAACCACCTTGCCCCGCTTCCACCAAGCCTTCCAGTGAGAGGGGGGGGCGGAGCTTCCCCGGGCACGTGGACAGGCCACCGCAAGAGGTGCCCGGATGTTTTTTCCTACCTCAGGCTGGGGAAAGCCAGAGGGAGGAGTGCCAGCGGACTGGGACTGTTGCGTGCCCCTCTGGCGTGTGCCCCCGGTCCTGGACAGTGAGTAGATTGGAGCAATTAGAATTTCAGGTATTTTTCTAATGTGTTCTTTGGCGAATCAGGATCCACACTTCATGCTGACCTTCACGGGGGAGCCCAGATCCAGGTCTGTCCCTAGTCTGCGCCCGACACTCTCGTTCCGCGTTTGCATCTCAGTTCCCCAGGCAGGGTCTCTCCCGCCCCGTTGACTCCCTTCATCATCTCTGCTCTGCAGCCAAGTCGCCAGCCCCCTGGTGTGCGGCTCTCTGCTCCCCCTCCCCCCCCCTTTTTAGCAGAATCCCGTTTCAGCCAAAGCCAGGTCCTTTCACCTCCACCATTACAAGTTAAGAACCACCAGGAACAAGAAGCAGTCCTTGTTCCTGGTGTGCCTGAATGCTGTTTACACAACGAAGTCGGGTGACGCCAATCTCACCTCACCACTACTTCCATTTCTTCCCCTGTGGGGAAATAAATTGACTCTGGATCGCTTCAGCGTTTGCCAGTTCGGCCGACTCCCCCCGTGAATGTTTCTTTTTTTCATCTCAGTGCGGGCTGGACGGGTCCCGCAGCTTATCAGGTCCTGCCTGCTTTTGTGAACGCAAGAACAATGTTTCCCAAAGTATTATGGGCAGGGAGAGAGGAGTAGGTTGGGCCAGGCGGCCAAGGGCTGCTTTGCTCTTACGGCATCCCCATGGTGTGGCTGTCCGGGGCACGGTCCCGTTTCTCACCTGATGGGTGGGAGCTGTGCCACTCTGCCATCCTCCTAGTTGGCACAGCTCAGGCTGCGTTGTGCCGCAGCAGGACTCTTGTGGTCGGGAAGTTCCAGCTCCAAAGCAAGCTGGGCCCCAGTCCCACGGAGAAAGTGGCTTTGCCCTAGCTTCCGCGTGCCTGCAAGGCATTGTTTGTTGGAGGGAACCATTAGGCTGTGCTTTATAATCACCACACCTGCTGTAACAAGCCCTGCTCACGGCACATGACCTGGAGCAGTCCTGCGGGTGGCACGAGACGGCCCCCGCCGCCACTCCTCAACCTCTCAGGTGCATGCCATTTGGGCCCAAAGGAGACTTTGGAAGTGTTCTTGGGTGTCAGATTTAGCCCAGGGTGGTCCCGTCTGCAATCTATGAATATGCTCTTCTGTATCATCATTTACTCCCCCCCCCCACGCACACATGTAAAACCCCCTTTATGTTTCTAGAAGCAATTCTAGCTCCTTTTTCGTCACCCAGGCCTTTTTCTGTCGCCCTCCCTCACACGACCATTTCCCAGCGTTTCCCTTGCCAGTCGCTCTGCACAGTCTGGTGCAGAAAAATGAGGCTTGGCATCAGCACTGGAAACCAGAACGTGGGGCGGAGCAAAGGCCTGGGGTGGGGGGGAGGCTGACTGTCACTCCTCTTCCAAGGGGTTGCTTTGGCCGGAGCCGGCTCTTCTGCGTTCGTTGGTCTTCCTTGCCGGGTGTTGATGTCCGGGCGGGAGGATCCAGGCTGGACTGATGGTGTGTGGGAATTGGCTCTTACAGTGCCACCATTCGGCTGCTTCTGACTCTGCTCCCCCAGCCTGAGTTTGCAGGGTTGGGGGTCTGGGGGGTTGGGGTTTTTTTTGTTTTTGTTTTGTTTTTACTGCTTCCTTCCTTTGTTCTGCTTAGGATCCTCCCCTCTCCCCCTCCTTCCTCAGCCTCCTACCTGAATTCTTCTGTCTGCCTGTATCACTACAAATACCTCATAGCATAGGTCCCGCGCTCTCTCGTTCCTGCAGGAATCGTACTTCATCGCCTCACCCGGGGCCGCTGCGCCTGGGTTGCATTTCAGGGTCTCTCCGCAAGCCCCAGACTTGCACCTCATACCTCACTGTGCGGGACGGGGCAGAGCCAGAGGGGTTTTTTTGCAGCCTCCCTCTGCTCCTCCAGGACTGGACGCCTACCTCTGCCTCAGGTCTACCGATTGATCCCTCTGAACCCTGTTCTCTTTGGGCAGACCCACGGAAAGCTTTGCCTACCCGTTCGTGCCGATCCCAGTTCGCTTTGAGCTCCAGCATCTTTCTTGTCGTTTCAGTATTTTGATTGTTTGTATCCTGGATCCCACCCCCCGGAGGGACAGGGCTTTGTAGGGCTAGTTTTAGCTTGCCTCCTCCTAGCTGTTTGTCGTTTCATATCAGAATAATAATTTACCTCAACAGTTGCCTGTGGCCGTGCGTTCCACCAGCTGTACTTCCTGACGTTGCCTTTCTGACTTCAGTATGTGCCTTGCGCTGGGTAAATGGGAGAGCCGTCGGGCTTCTCCTTAGCCTTCAGTATTTTCAAATACCTCAGTTGCATCTCCCTTTCCAGATGTCATTGCACAGGTCTCTTCTCTTACGCTGTCCTGCTCACACCCCCTACCTCGACAGACGTGATCCCGTTTCCACATTTCTACCTTCCTCGGTAACAGCGTTAGATTTTTTTTAAAAAAAACACGTAGCTGATTCAAGAAACTGCCCGGTTACAGCGCTGCTTGGCTTGTATCCCTCGTCCAGTTTGAGCAATCTGTTGCCCGCTTGTGACTCCCAGCGCTGGCAGAAGTTGTACCTCGGAGTCGTTTTCAGGCTCTGGCCTGTACTATTTCTCTGTTACTTGCGCCTGCCTCGTCATGGAACAGACGTCTAAACGAAGCTTCCCCCTCCCCCTTGAACTCCAAGCAGTCTTGGATTCCAAACGTCGTATTCATATCTACAACCAAAGTGTCACTCTGCTAGAGCTAGATGCAAGTCCAGGAGCACCTTAGAAACCCAACAAGGTTTTGGGGTCGAAGCTTTCGAGGGTCAGAGCTCCCGGATCTCATACCCCCCAAATCCTGCTGGTCTCTAAGCTGCTACCAGAATCACCTAGCACACTTTTGCCGCAGCCCAACATGGGTAGTAACTTTAAACTATCGATGTGAAATGGGGCGCTCTTATTGTAGCAGGAGCTCCTTTGCATATTAGGCGACACGCCCCTAATGTAGCCAATCCTCCAAGAGCTTACAGAGCTCTCCTTACAGGGGCTACTGTAAGCTCTTGGAGGATTGGCTACATTACGGGTGTGTCGCCTAAGATGCAAAGGAGTCCCTGCTACAAAAAGAGCCCAACTGTACCTGATCCGGTAGTTGGTGTGACTGATCTGATCTGTCTTTGATTGTTCAAGTATTGTTGGACGTTTCCAGCAGCGAAACAGTCTAATTGCGGGGAAGCGTCTTGACCGTGGCAACAGTCCACGCTGACTTGTCGCCCCACGTCGGCCATTACAGGATGGGTCTTGCGCCCAGGAATCGAGCCCCAGGATTCAGCCTGGAGCTGCTAGTGTATTTGCCGCAGTGATAAAACTGCAAAGATGCACGACAATTTTTGGTAAAAATCCCAGGCGAGAAGGCTGCAGCAGTCTGCTGTTCTCCACCACAGAGAGCAGAATGGAAAAGAGACTCTGAAAGTCTGGAGACTTTTCCCCCCCTATCATGCCGTGTGCAGCGATTCAGAAGCTTGTTAGTGCACAAAACAAAGCACTCTTGTCCACACGTTTGCACATTTTGCCCTTGAAAGGTGGTGATGGAAAGGTACAAGTCATTGTCAGGTGCAAGAATCTTCCACTTTATTTACAGCGCTCCCCCGGTGCAGTCGGAACGGCTGTCGATAAGCCAGCGTTCAGCCAAAGAAAGCACATGTATATACCAAATACAACTCTGTGCCCTCTTTTTTTTTGGTACGAGGTTCCCTAGCTTGTTTTCCAAAAGCACCATCCTGCTCCAGCATCCTTCGGCCAAGGTATGGGGGGCAGGTGAGGCATCAATGAATCCAAGCTGGTGGGAAGAAAAGGATTTCTGGAACCTTTGAAGCCTGGAATGGTGCTGTTCCCCCCCCCCCCCCAAAAAAGGCAGCCTTCTCTAGTCCTGATATTATGGTGTGCTTTCCGCCTCTAACCAAAGCTTACAAAAATCTCTCTTATGATTTTTAGTTTCACTCCCTTAGGGATGAAATGAGCCAGGTGTGACTTCTTACCCGACTAGTGCCATCAGTTTTACAACTGGGACCAGGGGTATTGGCTAAAACGAAGGCGGGGGGGGAGGTGCCTTCCCCCCCCCACCCCATACAGTTTTCAAGCTGTTAGTACCACAGTTGCATAATCTCCCGTTGCTCTTCAGACACCCAGACGAAGATTGATGGCCATTTGAAGCTTTAGGTCGGGTATCTTAAAGATCTTGCCAAATAGCTGTTAGTTCTCCTGCTTCTGGGGAATTGTCTGATCTCCGTTGTGTTTATGCTCATTATATTTCTAGCCTTTTCTCTTTTTTTACCTCCAGGGACAGAAAATTCCAGAATCCAAAAGGGTGGTGTGCGTTTGGGGAGGGGGTGGAATACGGCCGTTGTTTTTAAGTACTGCACAGTGCCTTCTTCAAGCGCACGGCTCAGTGAAGAGGTGAGCAGTCACCCAATTCTTCTCTCTCTCTCTCTCTCTCTCT